TTGGGAGTCTTCACCAGTACGCAGCCGCCGGGGTTCGAACCCAGGACCTTCTGGTTAGACCACTGAGTCACTGGGACCCGATCCAATGGTCTTTGAATTCTAACTTCTGCCATTTCGCGATATAGCGCGACCACTTCGCAATGCCTTCTTTGATGAGTTACTGCCTCATCTTCAACCTGCTGTACCCTACTGCTCAAGGCTTCCCACTAGAACCCCAGGTTAACTACCTAAATAGGGCCAGTCACTAGTGAGCATCAGATTAATTTTCAAGTATTGGTTACCAAATCTTTTATGTAACTGTTTTTTGCTAACCCCTACGAATTACCTTATCTTGAATACCGTTATTAATTTTCCCCCCTCCTTCAAAACTTAGATATCTTGTTACTAACATCTGTTAGTTAATTGTTTTAATGACCTTTAACCTGCCTATACCTAAAACTGATTAACTAAAACAACCACTTGATTTGGAAAAAAATTTTGATGTAAAAAAAACTATATATATTAGTGTAGAAGCAGCCGATGATGAGGAACTAATTGGAAAGGAATGCATATTTCCTCCCTCAATCCGTTGTTTTTTCTAAATGTGTAAATGAAAATTTGGACATAATTGAATAACAGGGAATGACAGTAACTCAGATATGGTTTTTGCAGATAGCGAGAAGTTGCGTAGTAAATAGTAGCACAATAGAATTAAGGGTTTGAAATTCGACAAGGTGAATGTTGTTATCCCATGAGAAGCAAGATGGTTAAGAATATCCATATGAAATGTGTGAAGGAGTTGAGGAGAAGAAGTCTTAGTAAATGGCACAAAAGGAACATTTGTAAGTGATAATAGTGGGTTAATTACTGAAATTAGAAGCGAATGAGTAGGGAAGACCTTAAGACAATAGTAGTATCACAGACTGAGTAGACTATTTCAGCACGAATTCCCAGTGCCTCCACGATACACAAGCAATGAAATATAACACTCCTTTATACCATTCCGCCCTATCCTGTAGATAATCTTAAAATACGACTCTGATGGAGCTGCGTTGTTTAAGTTCACCAGGCTCCACAGAATGAAGGTAGTAATTGTCTACCAGTGTCCTCTTGATAACCATTCCAGATACTGTTCGGAGAGGCTCGCTTAAGGAGCGGGAGCTTTGCAGGACCACAGAAGTAAATGAATTCATAAAACACTCATTGAAGTAGCTTAAAGCGGTAGTCCGTTTTTCAAGAATCCATTGGTAATTTGCTTGCTGTAGAAATTAATCCATGGCTCAGCTGAAAACGATGTTTTTCTTGGTGATCTAGATAAGTGATTTTTCAGAATCCAACATTCATAAACAATCTGCCTCCATTTTTCTCCGCATATTTATTAGGTAATTTGTTCTTAGTTGGTTAGCTTTCGGAGTTCCTCCTCTCTCCGACCACATAATCTTCAGGATGGAGCTAAGGTGACAATTGTTGATGAAAGGCTCTAGCAGCCAGTTTGAAATGATTTTGGTGACGTACCCGCAAAGTCTTTTAACGACTTGACTAGCATTAGTTTCTGTAGTATCAACACACACACTCTCTCTCAATATTTTAGATTGTCACTTTGTTCCATCCTATTGTGTGTGTGCCTGCATGCAGTTTTATAGACGAGGTTCTTTTTTTCGAGATTTCTTATTCTAATAGGATCCACTAGTGCGGTTGACAGTAGGGGATTAAAAATATCCGTAGTTCTAACATACAAAGAAAGGGACACTGAAACTATGCGGACGATTCTGAAAAAGGCAGGAACATAAGTGACATCCAAGTGTAAAAACTTGCCAGGAAAAATGCCTGTGTTGTCTGAAGCACGCCCTAAACAGTCTAATTCAGTTTATATGATACTCTGTAGTGGATTCGATGTTAAATGCATAGGTCGCAGAGGTAGACCACGAATAATTAGACTTGCGGGGCACAAAACTTCACCGACACCCAACCTACTTTCACTGAGCGATCTATGTAATTAAAGAACTATTATGCAGTTACATACTACCGTAGTCAGAAGACACCTAAGTTCGCCCACTGGTTTAAGCTGTCAGCTTGCGACTAATGAGTTGCGGGATCCGAAATTCGCTCTAACTTCAGTAAATGTCGTACCATAAATGTAGCTTGTAGTCTGGCACACTTAGAATCTGTTCGGCGCAAATGAGTTCTAACTATCCTACCTACTTTGGCAGAATTGCTTCAGATGAAGGCACCAAAGCCAACACAGGCGTTTATTATTCAGAAATCAGATTGTTGATAAGTAGGACTCACCACGATGAACAAGATCCAAGTTTTTAACACTAGCCTCAAATCTATCAGCGCTTCTATGTATGTTTCAAAGACTTGGTTCACTATTGCTGTATACCTTCATCAATAGCTGGCCTCTTCTCTCGATGGCAGTAAAGATCAGATGACGGGCCAGAAAGGATAAGTAACATCGAACTCTGACGAATAACCACCGACCAAGAAACTATTACCCAGGAAATATAGAGAAAGGAATGGAGCTGGATTAAATATCCGCCGAGGAGACCATTGAGTGACATCACATACCGGGGTCTCTGGTGGAACCCGAATGGGAAGCAACAAGTTAGGTGTGGATCCCAGGGTAACATAGGAGATCATATTGAGGAGGGAACGAAAGCCTATTGGCAATCATAGAGCCACTTAAGAAAAGGCTACAGAGAACAGAGTGAAGTGGTGATTAGCTACTGAGGTCCTTTGTTTTACTCAGAATGCAAGAGCACGATAATATAAGTAGCAAGTCAGCTTCAACTTTCTTTGGTTGAATTTAACCTTTATGTGTGTATGATAATGAGCAATTTCTAGTGTTACTTAATGCCTTCTTCCATAATATCAACACGACTATACAGCTTGAAAATAATGTCGTTGAAAAGAGATATTTCTTCGCTGAACAGAAATCGTGTTTTTCCCAATGAACTAATGGGTATATTTCGCAATTTTAATAATAATATGTTTTGAACCAATCAGATTAAGAGAATTTCACGGCCTATAATTGGTTAAAAATGTTTGTCGAATAATTTCCAGTAATTCGTCAAACGATGAGAACCGCTTATTCTGTAAAAGATTCCTCGTTAAAGCAATAGTAAACAACCAGACTGTTTCCTGTGTCAGCCAATCAGGTATTTCTCCGCACTATCTCCAGTAGCTGATTGGCGAGTATACAAAAAAAAAAACAACTAAGCAGTAAAGAATTAAGGTTGGTTCAATCTACTCTGAAATGAAATAATTACCTGCAACAGTTTAATAAAAGGTAAGATAAGAATGCATCAAAACCTGCTGCTAAGACTTAGTTTAGTACTGTAGTGATTCCTTACTACAAAAAGATAATTGGATGAAATGGAACGAATTCCTAACAATCATGACGTTACTAATTAAGGTTAGGGATCAAATAGAAGAAGACAATCATCAGAATCGCGTATGCCAAATAAACTATAGGGATTGTGACGCTGTATATGTAGAAGAAACTTCCAGACGAATAAATGTAAGAGTAAAAGAACATAAACAATGCTTATAGGTGGTTTCAAAGAGCCCAGTAGATTTGAAGAAAGTAGAAAATAAACCAGAGATCGAGCTACACTAGGTAGAAACATAACACAAGTTTGATTTTGATAGGACCAAGGTTCTACAGAAAGGTTTTGTTTCATATAAAGGAAGATGCATCCTACATCTATGGGTGAATCCCAAATATTTGCATAGACCTGATGGTGTGATATGTTAGCTGATATTCATTACAAGTCTTGATTAACAAATAAAAACGGATATGCATCACTGATTCTTATGGCTTATCTATTATCCTAACTGTATATATCTTCTAATTGGAAGGTTAACAAATGGTATACAATTGTTCAAGCATACAAACACATTACTGTACATCACATATATATTTTTCTCATTCAGATTCCCATTCCCATGACCTTTATTCGAACACTGTCACTTAATTCTAACTTAAAAGTACGTACGGTTTACCGTGTGTATTAAAGTAGACTTAAAATAAGTTCATGGGACTATCCGGTCAAATGTTGAATTTTTTTTAAATATAACAATCCCGGTTGAGAAATAAAACAACGATTTCAGCGTAGTAAATTGCTCTACAAATAATTTTTCCGATGACTATTTACTACTCAGACGTGATTCAACAAGAATTTTAAAGACAAGATGTGCCCTCCAAATTTGACCATGGATTGATATCAGTTAGAGGACCAATGAAAACCATGGGGTGCTGGACACATCTGTTTCGTCCTAGTTCGGGACTCATTGGCAGCATGTAAACACCACCAGGGTTCCAGCCCGGGACCTTTTAGTTGCAAATCAAACTCGTAGACCATTCAACCACTGGGACCCAACTAGGCGGCCCATGAAATCTAACTTCAGCCAATTCATGATTTTAGCACGACCACCAGCCAATGTTATCGGTGAGTACTTGTCCTCACACCAGACTTGGTTGATCCAACTGATCATGACATCTTACTAGGAGACCTAGCAGCTTAGTCCTGTATTCAGGCACTTACAAGAATCATATTAAGAGTGTGTTCGTAGATATTTGATTTATTTCAGGTATGACTGGTAGGAGTTGGAATCCATGGGCCAGTGGATTCGAGTGCCAGTGACTGGATCGCCTACAAGCTCGCCTTATGACCCGAAGATCCTGGGATCGAACCCTGGTAGGTTTTTAATGATGAAGAGTGGTAGACTAGGGCGAAACAGCTATGTCCAGTGTTCCGTGCAGGTTTTCATTGGTTTTCTAACTGATATCAATCCACGGTCAAACTTGAAGCAAGTTAAATCCCTGTAGAATATTTTAATTTTGATTATTTGCCCGAAGGATCTCGAAGTGGTTTGCCGAAAGAAATGTTGGAATTATTATTATTATTATTATCTCCGATTTGCTGAGATTTGTATAAATATGATTTCTAACAATGTCAAGAATCACTGACTGTAGGAAAAATACACCCAGTAAATAAATAAATAAATAAATAACTTACCAATATATTCTAACATGATACCTTTCCCGTGTATGATATAGGGATCTAATAGATTTAAATTCGAAGTGAATTGTAATCCAAATGCATTACTTATTGGACCATACACTTGTCCAACTAAATGTGTTTCATCAACTGGAAATAATTTCTGATAATCATTATCATGTGTAGTTGTGGTTGAAGAGAAGGAGAAGGACGAAAAAGACATTGATGACGCTGACCATGATGATGATGCAGAGGAGGAGGAGGAGGAAGAAGCGTAGGTGGGGGCGGCAGACTCTGATGATGCCGATGTTTTTGTTGAACTATTGACTAGACAAAAACGTACGATGGGTATAATAATCTCTGTAGAATTATATGAACTAGACACTCGAGCATCAATTGACAAATAGTCATGATGACATGCTTTCCCTGGATCTGATGGACAAGCTGGTCCCGTGGCTAAGATAAGATCATTATTATTATTATTCGATATTGATGTCCTTGATGATGTTGACGATGAAGAGGCAGAGGGCACTAAAAAGATTTAATTAATAAAAAAAAATAGTAAACAAATGAGAGAAATAATAAAAATGTTACATTTCCAATCGATTTACTTGACTATTGCATCATATTTTCCAATATTCCATTTGATGTCCTTAAGAGAAGAATAACAACATCTTTGAGAAGCAAATTCTAAGAATAGTGTTCTCTAGCACTCGTTCTCTAGTCTGTAGCAGTTTGAAAGAGAAGATCTCGTACTGTGACCACTTCTGTGTGCACATATGAGTTCAGCTCTTCCGGTGGAGCAAGGTAAACTGGTTGTTTAACAATAATAATCATATAATAATAAAGCTTTGTTTCAATTAATATGTGAACATATAGTAGAGAAATTTTCAGCGTATCTAGTTCCAAAATGTTGCCTCTTCATACAGGGTTTACTTATAAATTAATAATCTGAGGTATATTATGTGACATAGCCATGCTGTATACGATAAGAGAACCAACTATGTAAGTTTTTTCCCTATCTCTTTCAAGAATTGCACAGCGTTTAGTTTGAAGCTGATTAAATAGAGGCACGAGTTCATGTAACCTTCATAGGTTTCGTATTTCTTGGTACTCATCAGTAAGGCATCCCCTCAGTATCGAAGAATTCAACTCCCCTTCTGTGACTAGGACACGTTTGACCCAGGGATGAGGTCAAAAAGATTACCACTAATGCGAAACATTCTACGATTGTGCGTCAACAAGACTAGTTACCTTAATGTCAACCTGTCGGATAGAATGCACCCAGAAGCAATGAGAAGGATTAGAAACATGGAATCCATAACACCTTTGTAGTCAGCCAATTTATGCATTGAGGTATATTGAAATTTCATTTGTAATAAAGCTTACTATTTTATTCTGATAGAGGTTGAAGGAAGGCCATCGTGTAACAGGCACTAGATTAATCAAGAAAATATCATCTAAAATGTTGTTTGTTTTTAAGTGAGGTTCTTATTCCCCCATTTATTGATTAAGGTGGACTGAAGTGCTGGTTAGCTGTTGATATATCGTCTTGTGGTACGGACACTCTGACGATGTCTAAGGATTAATGTGAATTTTTCTTTTGATTGATAGTGACTAGAAGTGGATAAGTATTCCATCTAACTTGGGACTCATCATCTGAATGTGATAGTGCTCCCATTGAGACTCGGACACTTCACCTGTCATTTTAAATGACAAAGTACTATCCAGCGGATCTCAAGGACAGTTATATCCATCTGACAAATCCTAAATAGGACAACATGTGCACTCTGAATTCCACCGCTTGTCGCCATCAACCAAAGTAAACTTCTAAAGTGGTATTTTCATTTTTTTGACAAGTAGTCTGCCGACACACACACACACACATAAACAGCTCAGCAAATACTCTCCCATGGTTAAATTTCAATGTAAATATTTAAGTATATATCAGTAATATTTGTTCAGTGTCATGGAAAAGTTCCCACAAATGCAAGAGGAGCAACCATAATCATTTGTTTTTTTCCACACCTTGCGTTCAGAATGGAACTTAGGACTTTAAGCTTTCCTGAGGACTCAGTAGAATTGGTGTTGTTATTTTTTGATACAGTAGGGTCACTAACCTCACGCCCAACCTTCTTTCCTTCCTTCCTTCTTTTCTGGTTTTTGCATTAGCTAGTAACCTAGGCAAGCTTTACAGATCGGCTGGTCAGTAATGGAAGCCGAACCTTCAGTGCAACTGTCGATTACTTCGCCACTGAACCACCGGAAACCTAATGGTGAAGTGTTTCTTTTCGTAACATAAAGGTCCTATGTATGACACCCGAGGGGGCCACGACTGTATACTGATGAAGAGTCCCAAACTAAGGCAAAAGTAGTGTGCGATATTTCCCCACCTATACTATTAATAGTGAAATTTAATGAATTTTACTTACCCGTTGTCTTAAAGTTACTTCTGTGTCTTAGTTTTATGTGCATGTTGAAAGCGTGTCCATTGAGCATAAAAGTTAAAAATATTTTAATTATGGTATTGACAATAACAAAAGTTGTTGAGCTATTTGTCAATTAATCTATCCCTTCAAACGCCAACATTTTAAAATCAAACTCGTATACAGCATATGTTAGACGAATCACTTACTTGTACTTATAATTTCAAAAAGCATTCACCTCTTGAGAGTATCAGTGAGTGCATTCAACAGTTGTGTCAAAAATCCGCTTGACTGTGCTTACATTTGTCCATAGATGCTTTCGTGGTAGGATACTCGTCAACCATGTGGCGAGTGGCCTGTGTTCTATACATGATCGATGCTTTAGCCCGTAGTCAACCCTTCACAGAGGGAAGAGATGATGAACGTGAGGCTATCAACCTCACCTCACAGAAATAACTTCAAAGCTCAAATTTCAGGTTTTGTGTTCTCCGTGGAACTCAATGAAATGAAATGAATTCATTTGGTGGCAAAATCAACACTGAAGTCAAAGAAATCTCTACAAATCCTGAGAATTCATTTCTTTCGCTTCTGGTTAGTGACTAATTTGAAGAAGAATTTCTGAGATCCTAATAAATGGTATTCTTGAAATGCATATGGAAGTAAGACAAACTCACTGACTATCATTACCGATGATATTCTCAATTGTGGTGGACTTGGTTGTGCGTCAAGCTGTGCGTGGGGAGTTAGAAGACAGGAATATGTTGGACCGATAAGAAGAATCTATAAGATCTGAATTTACAGGATTTCATCATGAGCTGATATTGGTTAGAGAACCATTGGAAAACCTGGGAGTACTGGACAGCTGTTTCGTCCTAGTTTGGAACTCTTTATCAGTACGCACCCACCGGGCTTCGAACCTAGGACATTCTGGTTACAAGACGCGCCCGTAGACTATTAAGCCACTGGGACCCGACCCAATGGCCCATGAATTCTAACTTCTGTCAATTCATGACATAGCGCGACCCCTAGCCAATGTTTTCGGCAAGTATTTGTCCTCTCACCCGACCTGCTGCACCCTACTGGTCACGACTTCTGACTAGAACCCCAGATTTTGCAGATGATTTATTTTTAATGTCGCACAAACTCGAAGACTTGCAGGTGAAAAAGAACAAAGTGGCTGAAGAAACAGGCATTGATGAGACTCCAGGTGAACATAAAAACGGTGATGAAAATAACCAACCAACGAACAGTAGCAACATCAAAAACCAGCACCAATCATCATCAACGGGAGAGGTTTGGCAGAGGTTACTGCCTTCGCTTATATAATATATATATATATATATATATATATATATAATATTAATTTAGAGAAATATGAACTCAAAAGACGACAAGTTAAAGCTGCTTACACATAAACAGACCAGTCATTCGATTGATATACAACACACACGTGTAAACAAAGACGATAGAAGTTATGTCTTATTTGACATTTATTGTATAGTTAAGAATAGCTACGCGTGACTGCTTGACTGACTGGCTGACTAGCTCACTAACTGACTAACAACTCAAAGAATGAATCCTAACGCCTTCAGGTAAGGTATGATCCAGTTTAAAGAATGACAAGGTATAACAAAATAATAATCTTAAGGCGTGTCTCCGTGTGCGTGTATGTGTGTGTATGAGGGAGCAAACTTCAATATATATGATAAATGTATACACCAATAAATAAGTGAGCAAGTAAGTAAGTAAGAGAGAGAGAGAGAGGGAGGGAGAGTGAGAACAATGAGAGTAAATCAAGGCGTAGTCTAACTAGGGCAAAATTTAAAAGTTGAATTTTCCCAAAAACAAAAAGTTTCCCCAAATTACAGTTGAAAAATGAATTTCCGCTAAATATATATTATACATATATGTATCGTTATCATGTAATATATTTGATAACTCATAAATCGATATGCTGTGTGAGTATGAGATAACTATCAAGGTTACTTACTCAATTGATAATCAATTCTTCTAAATCTTAGATTCAATATCCTAGTAGTAGTTAGGGTTATGTATAAATCCTATTGAACTGGAAATAGGATAGTGGGCTATTTGTGAAACTATATATTGATTATATCTTTACGTTTTGGTAGATTTGGGAATATAGGTGGCTTTGGATTCTGTTGACCATGGAATGCTGTAACAATGTTTGGCCATGTAGAGAGAGGCCTCCAAGAAGGTATATCACAGTAATTAAAACACTCTACTTGAACTGAGGAACAGCGTACGCAGAGTTGTCATCTGGAGTGATAATAAGCAGTGCAGTTAATCAGGAATGCCCACTGTCCCTATTTTAGTTTAATCTAATAACAGACGTACTAATGGATGTGACGTAGGCCTACTATAGCAGCCTAGGGATTGACTTGTTACCATATAAAAAGTCTTACGGACTTAAAAGAATGAGGATGATGGTATCCTTCTAGGCGAAAATGCTGGCAAAATGAATCCTTCTGAATACCTTGGTCAGAAATCTTGGAATGTTTGGTATGACATTCACCCCTATCGAGTGCAAGATAATTCTGAAGAACTGATCTGCATCGACTACCAGTTTAAATATAGAGAGTGATTGAGTGTATTCACTATTCCTCTTATTTGTGAAGTTGCAGCAGATCTAGTAGACTGATTCCTGACAAAATATCAACATGGATACAAAAGACCTATGTGGCATTTGTCAACTTACGTAATATTCGATTATCGATCAAAAGAATTTTGTACTGTTCATAGCAGTGAGACATGGCCATTGAAAAAAGAATATATGAGAAGGCTAGTTGTCCTTGACATGACGAAGGACGTCTGAGTTCTGCCTTCACTATTAGGTGGCATAATATGGTGGTAGGACAATCAATGAGTTTTAGAAGCCATATCAGTTGAGATGGCTAGTTTATGTGTTTCGTATGCTTAGTTACTTCCTACCTCTTTGAGTAATGTTAGTTGACATAGGGTTAGGTTGAAAAAGGGTAAGTGGTAGTCAAACCAGAACATGCCATAAATCGATGAAGTCTTTGATAGTTCGTTTGGGTTAGTCACTTATGCAATGGCTTGACGCCATGACTACGTCTCTCTACG